CCCAAAACCCCAAAACCCCAAAACCCCAAAACCCCAAAACCCCAAAACCCCAGGTCTGCGGTACCTATCAGATATCTTATTCAATAATTAATGATGGAAAATATAAGTAAATATATAAATAATAGGGGAACGAAAATAAAGAAGAATAATACTGTAGTTTGTTTGAATTATTATTGAAAAGTGATACTCGTAAGCTGTAAACGTATCAAGGGATCACTCGTCTTTATGCAGATATGCTCAGAAACCGTGTTTAGCGAGTTCTTCAGTGACCTTAGCGAGTTCTTTGTGACCTCTTGCCTTTGATTTAGCGCTGAGTTTCTTTTGCTTGAGTTCCCAGAACTTGCTTGACTTGACCTTTCTCTTTTCTTCGAGTCTCTCGACTAAGCCCTTCTTGGTCCAGCCGATTTGTTGAGCAAGTTCTCCAAGGACGCAGAACTTTCTGTGGGACTTTAATCTCAAGATCTTAAGAGCGTCTGGAACGACCATTCTGCGCTTTTGATCATAAGGATATGGGATACCCTCGAATACCTTTAAGTGGCCGAGAGCAGCAGCACCCTTGGGGGTTTTGTGTGGGAGCATGCCTCTAACAACTCTCCAGAAAATACGTGATGGAGATCTGAAATGGAACTGTCCTCTTCTTGGGTTGGTGTTCATTCCCTTGCCGAGGAATTCGTGATACTTAAGCTTGTTTCTGAAGAGAGAACCTGATCTTAAAAGAAGCTCACATCTGACGACTACAACTCTCTGTCCATTCAAGATCTCCTTGGCAACCTTTGATGCTAGTCTACCGAGCAAGTGGCCTCTGCCATCGATAACAACTTCACGTTCGAACATACTAGATTTCTAATTAAATAATAAACCTTAATTTCAATTATTATTAATAAATAGGGTAAAGATTTTTTGCAAATGGTTAAGTATTCAAGACAACCTGCTGAGCCCACTAAATGTACTATTTGAATCTTAAATTGATAAAAAATTAGCCGCAAAGAGCAGAGCTCAAGACCTCAGAGTCCACTTCAAGAACACCTATGAAACTGCAAGAGTTGTTAAAGGAATGAGAATCAAGAAAGCCATTAGATACATGGAAGATGTTCTCGAGCATAAATAATGTATTCCTTTCAGAAGACATACTGGTCATGGAGGTAGAGCTACTCAAGCTAAAATTCATGGAGTTACTCTTGGTAGATGGCCCGAAAAATCTGTCAAATACGTCCACCAACTTCTCAAGAATGCTTTATCAAATGCTGAAGCTAAGGGATTAGATTCTGAGAAATGCGTTGTTAGTCATGCTGCAGTCAACAGAGCTGTTTAAGGAAGAAGAAGAACTTTCAGAGCTCATGGTAGAATTGGTCCATACCTTTCTTCAAACTGCCACATTGAATTCATCCTTACCGAAAAAGCTGAAAATGTCAAAAAAGCTGCTGATGACTAGAACAAACTTAGATTAACCAAAAAGCAAGCTGCTAGAACTAGACTCGCCATCGGCAAATGAGAGTTCTCTCTAATCATTCTTGAAGAGGGTTAATTCGTTTACTGAGCCAAGTTTCTCAGCTCCTTTTTTTTAATTTCGAAATGGTTAAGTAAATAAGTCGTCTTTTCACCTTTTATTGTTCCTTTTTCTCCCTATTTTATAAAATGATATTATACAATAATCTACAAATTCAACTCTAAATCATGAATTTGTTTTCATATATGGGGTTTTGGGGTTTTGGGGTTTTGGGG